TTTTTTTTCTTTTACTGAAATGCATTCCAGGCTGAGACTCTCGTAGACGCCTTGTGTTCAATGATGGTTGCTGGATCAGATTCTTTGCGAGACGTGAGGTTTTGAATCCCGTTATCAAAATTTTGAGTAGAAAAATTTTCAGGTCAGTTCAATAGCGCTCAAGACCGTAGTTGGTCATCTTCCCGTGGGAAACACGGTATTTGTCACCAACCTTATGAAACGGCTAGTGCCAAAACTGAATGCTGCATTAGGTATGCTCTTATCGTTTTACTTATCACATGACTGACGTAGCAGTCGCGCTTTCAGAGCAAACTAAACCAAATGACTCAGTGCGACTGGAGATTGTCGACATCATTGGAGACGTACTGAATCGTTTTGGTTCTTTAATAACGTCTGTTCACAAAGATGTTAGCGCAGATTTTGATTATGTCTTGCTTGCTGATCGTATCAGTCTACCTGCTTACAGACCCAGAAAGTACTGCTCGATCAACTGCTGCTCGAGCGACCTGCGCTCAAAAAGAAAGCCACGTTAGCTTTAGCATCGCTGATGTCTGTATGTTCGCATGAACTTTTCAAAGATACAATGGATGTGTTTGTGGAAAGGTTTGTAGCTGAATATTTGCCCCATATATTTTTCGAATCCATAGCCTATGTGATTTTTTGTAATATCAGATTAACCGATGCGAAGGGATCAAATTCAATTCGTACATATGTAGTCGCCTTGACTTGCGTTGCGAGAACCAGTGGACCTAGGTTTTCTGACTATATATCAAGAGTAATCTAAATAGTTTTTAAGCAGTACATGATAGTAGTTTCCTTCCCAAAATTTCAGGTGCTACCAAAAATTTTGGATCATGTGGAATCTGCCGATGATGATGAACTCAAGGAAGCTCTTTTACAATCTTTGGAAACATTTACGTATCGCTGTCCTAAAGAGATGGCTGCTTATCAAAGTCGCATCCTCAAGGTAAAATGCTTTAAGCTCATTTCTCTAATCCCATACTCACTCTGCAAGACTTTAGAATGACGATTTCACAAAAATATATGCTGTTGCCGCGCTTGCCACATGAGTAAATGTTAAATAGAAAATTCCAAATACATGTAATATCATGATATGTAAGCAGAGATAAAATTGCTGTCGTTTTTGTTGTCAAGGGAAAAATAGCAAGTGGTCATGAATTAACACGAGATTTGTATGACATGCTTCT